AAAGAACTCTCCTGTCTCCTGTGACGCCGTTCGAAAACATTCTTCAGATTTGATTATCCTTTTCGAACGATAATACTTAAGAAATGGCAATAATAATAGGAAATAGAGATAGAGATAATTATGTGACGCCGTTCGAAAACATTCTTCAGATTTGATTATCCTTTTCGAACGATAATACCTAAGAAATGGCAATAATAATAGGAAAGATAGAGATAATTATGATGATGATGATGATGATTATGATTATGATTATGATTATGATTATGATTATGATGATGATGATGATAATGATAATGATGACAAGTAATGATAATAGATAACAGTAATGATAATAGTAATGCTAAAAACAATAATAATAGCAACGATACTATAATGATGATGATTATAGGAGTATGATTATAACAATAAATATAATATACAATGAGGATAATGATTGCGATGATTATGATCATGATAACAAACACAATAATGATAAAGATGATAACTATGATATGAATCATAACAATAACTCTTTTACAACTACTGATAATAATACCACGAATCAACATACAGTATCAATAATGCATAAAGTACAAGTAACATTGAAAATAAGGAAATTACTGATGATGTATTAGGTAATAACGATGACAATAATGACGATAACCAGAAGCCATCAACAGGGACCATGTCTTTCACTCCGCGATGACGACGGCGTATGAGGGAAGGCGAGGCGCGGGACACGGGAAAACCCAACGATTCCTGCACAATCAATTCTGTCCTCCCGCTCGCCGCTCTCGCGCTCTGCCTCACTCTCAGTTTGGAGACGAATGAGATCCCTGTGAAACGCATGCGTGTATGTGTAGGTATATGTAAACATACGCACATACACACACACACACACCCACCACAGTATAATATATATATATAATATATATATATATATATATATATTATATATATATATATATATATATTGTGTGGTGTGTGTGTGTTGTTGTATGCATTTATGCACACACCCGCACACACATACACGCGCGCGTGCCCATGCACGCACATATGTATATATACATATACAATATATTTATTTATGTGCAAGGGTGTGTATGTGTGTGTGTGCGTGGGTGCGTACGTGACTGTGTGCGTATCCGTGTGTGTATGTGAGTGTAAGTGTGTGCGTGTCCGTGTGTATAATGTGCGTGGTATGTATGTATGTGTGTGTGTATGTGTGTGTGTGTGTGTGTGTGGTGTGGTGTGTGTGTGTGTGTGTGTGTGTGTGTGTGTGTGTGTGTGTGTGTGTGTGTGTGTGTGTGTGTGTGGTGTGTGTGTATGTGTATGTGTGTGCATGTGTGTGTGTGTGACTGCAGAAATCCTGAGACTTTTCCTGAAAGCCCTTTCCCCTCATTTTCCTACGAAAAATCGTGATAAGTGTGGAAGGAAAAACAGTGCACCGTCTGCCTCTGATTCATTCTTATTTTCATTATCAGTGTAAGCTATCATTACTTTCAGAATGGCTGATATCATAGCCATTGCTATCGTAATCATTAACAATATTTTGTTAATATTTTTATCATCATTATCACTATTATTCTTATCATCACTCTTATCTTTATTATCACTATTATTCTTATCATCACTCTTATCTTTATTATCATAATGATCATTATCATGATTATTATCAATATCATTATCATTATTTTTATCAATATTATTGTCAACATAAGTATTATCATTATCTTTTTTGTTTTTATTATAATTTCTGTTATCATCATTTTCATTTTTGCTTTTATTATGATTTTTATTATTGCCATTATCATAATTATAATTACCATTAGTGTGACTATTATCATTATCATTATGAATTTTTTTATTTCTTTTTATTGTTATCATTATTGCTATTATATATTATATCACTATTATCATAATTGCCATTATCATTTTTAACATCTTTCATATTATTAAAATCATTATTATTATCATTATTGCCATTGTCCATCATATCAATGTTTGCGTTATCATCATTGTCATCACTGTTCTCGTTAGCATTATTATTGTTATCAACACTAATTTTATTATCAATATCATCATTATCATTTATTATTGATATTAGAAATTGTCGTAGTAATAGTATCAGCAGTAGTAGCTGTAGTAGAAACAGCAGTTGTAGTAATAGCTGTTGTAGCATCATTCTGCACCAGCAGTAGAAACAGTAGAATTGGCAGTAGTAGAAGTAAAAGTAGTAGTCAAAGTAGTAAAAGTAGTAGTAGTAGAATTAGTAGTAGTAGAATTAGTAGGAGTAGTAGTAGTAGAAGTAGTATTAGTAGTACTAGTAGCATAAAAAGAAGTAGTAGTACTAGTGGCAGTAGTAATAGTAGTAGTAAAAATACTTGTAGTAGTCGAAGTAATAATAGCTGTAGTAGAATCAGTAGCAGCAGTATAAGAAGTAGTAATATAAGTAATTGTAGTAATAGTAGTAGTAGTAGTAATGCAATCAGTAGTAGTAAAAGTAGTAGTATCTGTTATA